CTGGACACAGGCAGACCTGGCTGCCCAGAGAGGACAGGCTCAGTGACCACAGCCTGGACACAGAATCTGGACACAGGCAGACCTGGCTGTCCAGAGAGGCCAGGCTGTGCTTCCACTGCTGGCGGGGATAAGCCAGAAACTGAGATTCGCTCTAGGCTACAGTTTAAGAAATATCCTGGGTAGGATTGGACAGCCAGGTCTAATTCTGTCCAGATTTCTTCCAAAGTCCAGGTCCAAATACTTCCCCAGAACAAGTTGAAAACCCCCACACCTGCCAGAAACCTGCCAGAATCGGAACGGTTTCCAATCCTGCTGGGGGCGCAAGTTCAAAAGAGCTGGTGCCCATCTCTCGTCCCAGCCTGAGGAAAAGACACTGTGCCTCTCGTATTACGCCATTACCCTCAGCATACCCTACTGCCTTATGCAGTAGTTCGCTGGTCACGCCAGTAACACCCTTAGCAAGGGAGTGCAGGGGGGGGTGTGAGAGCACAGGGGAGTGCCAGCCCCCCAGCCCCCCCACACTACAGGGGGGGCACCAGCCACAGGCCTGGCTCCAGCCCTCTGACTCCTCCTTAAGTGTGGGCCAGTAAAGCCCCAGTCCTGGAAATGACTCAACTCTGAGGAACTTCAGCTTTGGCACAATCAAGGCCACTGTGCCCTCACTCCTCTGGCACGGACTGCTCGGGGATTCTAATCGTGGCTTTATTTCAGCACAAACTGCCAGGCCTGGACAGGTGGCCGTAACCTTAAAGCCCAGGACAGAGCATGATGGTGGAAGAGGGGGAGAATATGGCCTTTTCCAAAAGGCGTATCTCCACCGTATTCTCACAGCCTACTGGCGCTGCACAGCAACAGCCACCATCGGCTTTTTCTTGTTGCCCTCATTTGTTTCTAGGCTTAAAGCTCGTCCCTCTTACGTCCGATCGCTGGCGAATTGCAGACTTTCATGACGGTTCTAACACTCTGTGGCAACATGCTGTTGATAGTGGCCCCTGTCCAGGCCTGAGCTCATCTTCTATTTGAGTAGCACTCAAAATGGAACGTAGTCCAATGCACACAATTTGTAAAGAGTTAGAAATACAGTAAAAACATAAGGAAAAAGCCGTTTTTGATTAATATTTTTTGACCGTGAAAAACACAGCCTTGACCATGATGAATTGCCATGCCATGAAGGGATTTTTAGGCAACCTAAAAAAAAAAACGTAAGAGCTTTCAGATTCTTGAATTGCCTGGGTGAGATCATTTCACATTCTAACTCCAAAATGACTCGTCACTCTTCGAGAGAAGCCTAGAGCATGATCAGTGACACACAGGAGTGTTCTCCTGTTACAGTTGGGTGATGCAGCCAGGCGCTAGGTCACTAACAAATATATATGTAAGCAGTACGTTTTTGAAATCAGTCTTGCTTTTACCTGGCAGCCAGTGCGGAGTGGCCAGAGCTGGAGTCCGAGCAAGTTTCTCATCTAGAGCTGATCAATCCATAGGCAGCGCTTTCAGAAAAGCGGCCAGCATCATCCACAGGAACACACCTGGATTCCCGATCTCCGAGCTAGTTTTAGCTGTGCTTCTGCCAGCTATCAGCCGAGAGCAGGATGACCCTTTTAAAAAAATTAAGTGAATAAAGAGGAAAGGCACCTGAGCACAAGTGCTTAGTTAATGCATAATGTCTGAATTTTATTACGGGGTGCAGAAGAAGGGTTTTTGGTTAATGTATTTATAGTGACCCTTAATGGCTGAACCAAGCCTACGTGTGAAAACCAGAAACCTGATGAGCCAGTAAAAATACTGATTTTTAAGTCTTCGTTCTAGTCCAAGGGAGGAGGCAGGATGGCGCAGCACTGCTGCCTGGCAGCATGGTGGCCTGGGGTGCTGTCTGTGTGGAGTTTGTATGTTCTCCCCGTGTTCATGTGGGTGTCCTCTGGGCGCTCTGGTCTCCTTCCACAGTTCAAAACATGTTGCTAGGTTATCTGGATTAGGGGGAAATTGTGTGTGCGCTCTGCGATGGACTGGCGTCCTGTCCAGGGTGTACCCTGCCTTGCGCCTGTGGAGTGCTGGGATAGACTCGGGCTCCTCCGAGACCCTGAACTGGAGGAGCAGTTAGAAAGTGGATGGGATGATATTGCAAAGGACTTGGAAGTTACTTCGGTAGCCAATTAATGATCTCGAAAGGAAGCAATTTAAAACCTGGAAAGAAAGTGAAAAAGATGCATTTTGAAGTGCATGCCAAGCAGAATAATGTATGAAATGCCAGGTTCTCAGCACAGGTCTTCCAGGGCTTATTTTCAGCTGGGAGATCACTTACCTGCAGTTACATACCGCCTTTGTTTTTTGCAACAAGGCATTCTTCTGTTTTGCAAAAAAAAAACAAAGGATGATATTTGTGTTATTAGCGCTTCCCAAATCTTGAACGTTTCTGTATTTCTAGTTTATTAGAACGGACTTTATTGACTTGATAGACTTGGCCTCTGAAAGGTCAATCGCCCCTCTTCTCGGATACACGCGGGTCCGGTGGCGGCGGCTGTTGAAGTCTCCACCCCCTGCCACCGGGAGCCGACTGTTGCCGCGACACGTGTGGGGCGAGCCCCCTCCCACCTCCCCGTTTGTCCTTTTCCTTTCCAGCTCGGCGTACGACAAGGAGAACAAGGTGCGAGTGGCCATCAAGAAGATCAGCCCGTTCGAGCACCAGACGTACTGCCAGCGGACCCTGCGCGAGATCAAGATCCTGCTGCGCTTCAAGCACGAGAACATCATCGGCATCAACGACATCATCCGCGCCCCGTCCATCGACCAGATGAAAGATGTGTATCCTTTTGGGGTGCCCGCCGCCCCCTGCTGTCCTGAAGGTGTCTTCGTTCTCCTGATGGGCAGCTGGAACTTCAGGGAGGATCCCGGGTCGCATAAAGGTTACCAGCAGCCATATCACCCTGCAACTCACAACTGGCAGCCCACTGAAGCTCAGCAGTGTGAGCCTGGTCAGTACCTGGATGGGAGACCTCCTGGGAAAGCTGAGGCTGCTGCTGGAAGAGGTGTTAGTGGGGCCAGCAGGGGGCGCTCACCCTGCGGTCCATGTGGGTCCTAATGCCCCAGTATAGTGACGGGGACACTATACTGTAATCAGGCGCCGTCCTTCGGATGAGATGTAAAACCGAGGTCCTGACTCCCTGTGGTCATTAAAAATCCCAGTGTGTTTCTCGAAAAGAGTAGGGGTGTAACCCCGGCGTCCTGGCCAAATTTCCCATTGGCCCTTACCAATCATGGCCTCCTAATAATCCCCATCTATGAATTGGCTTCATTACTCTGCTCTCCTCCCCACTGAGAGCTGGTGTGTGGCGCACTATGGCTGCCGTCGCATCATCCAGGTGGGGCTGCACACTGGTGGTGGTGGAGGGGATCCCCATTACCTGTAAAGCGCTTTGAGTGGAGTGTCCAGAAAAGCACTATATAAGTGTAAGAAATCATCATTATTATTAATTATAAAGGGCAGTCCGGGATGCAGCCCGGGAACCTGTTGTAATAGCGAGCGTTTAGCCGGAGCGAAAGTGGGCACCCGCAGGGTTTCATTTCTGCGGCGCGGGAGGGCGAGGGGTGGGTTGTCAGGTTGCGAGATTTTGAACTCCGTCCCCGCCGAACCACCCCTGAGCTTTCTCGAGTGAAGGGCCCTCGTTTATTGAGGCCCACGTCGAAGGAGAGGAAGGTCGTCGTTCGTTGCCGTTGACAACGTGGGTCTGGTAATTGGTGAGCAGTGTGGTGGTCACTTGCGTTGTGAAGGTAACCCCTCTTCAGGAGACGAGGAAAAGAGTCCAGACCACAGAGGAGAAGAGATCACTCATCCTTTATTTCAGTTAAGGCACCACGCAGCCCTGCCCTGGCAGAGCTCTCTCTACAGCCAGATAACAGTGTTCCAGCCCCCCTCTTCCAGCAGCTGGGTGACTTTCCTCTCTCGCCTTCCTGTTATCAAAAGCTTGTAGCTGCCTGCAGTCTAGGCATCATGTCAGAATCGCAAGGACGCAGTGTTCACGAAAGCAGCGTTTTAAACATAAACAACTTTATACAGCTGCGACGTCATTGGTGCCTCAAGTCCAGACAGAAGAATTACAAGTGTTGTGATTGCAGTCCTTTTTGGGATTATCAGGGGGTTCTAGAAAAGATATGGCCGAAAAACAATCCTTCGGTTGATCCGCTAATCGGCGGGTCTAGAGAACGGTCAGCCTGTCGCTGTTGCTCGGAGTCGGCATCAGTAACCTCGCCGATTTCGTGAGGTTTAGTGAAAGAGCTCGGCGCCCTCCCAGCTTGCATCGCTGTTGGCAGAGAATCACCACGCGCGTTTGGTGTTTTCTCAACTTCCTGTAGGCGTTTTTTTTTTCGCTTGCCAGCTCAGGCTGTTGCTGAAACTGGGCCACGGCAATTTTGAATAGCACTTTTGAACATAACAGCAGCTACCGCATGATCTAATTTGTACTACTGCAGCCTCTTTTGTGTCCATTTCAATACAATACCAGATAGGAGGCTCAGGAAGAAAATGCAATTTCTTGCTTCAAAAATTGTTGTTTTTTTTCCATGATGTCCGAGTCGGAGCTCGGGTGCGGGGAATGATGATGAGGGCTATCTGTGGGCTCCTGAGATTCACGGGGGCATGTGGGAGCCTAAGTGTGTTTCAGGTGTTAGCGTGGTTTTCAGGGTGTGGAGATTTCCTAAGCCAGGGGTAAATAATTTCCTGCTCAGGGGTTTGTTCCAAAACATGGTGGAGCCTCCAGTTACTGTTATAGAAGTGAGTCTTGCGCAACCCGGGAACATAGAAGTATTCCAAAGACCTCCTTAGATTACAAAAAAAAGAGGAAAAGACATTTTTGTTGTGCAATTTGCAGCAGCATCACAAACCTAAAAATAGGGTTTTGTTTCTTGGTGAATACCAGTGTTGCCATCTTAGAAGCAATTACAGCAGCTTCACTGCGGAGCGAAAGTGAATTTTGTACAGTTACCTGCTGCCCATATCTAGTGAAAGCCTTTTTAAAGTTTTTTTTTTTTTGCCACTTTAGAACATGGGGGGTGGGAGCTGACGAAAATCGCTGCTGTAAACGAACATCGATTTGTCTCTGATTGCACTGAAGTCTTTGTGCTTAACTGGCGTGCTCTCACAGATATATTGTCCAGGATCTGATGGAGACCGACCTCTACAAGCTCTTGAAGACGCAACACCTAAGCAACGACCACATCTGTTACTTCTTATACCAGATCCTGAGAGGGCTCAAATACATCCACTCTGCCAATGTCTTGCATCGCGACCTTAAACCCTCCAACCTGTTGCTTAACACTACCTGCGACCTGAAGGTCTGCTTCCTGCTCTTTCTGTTAAAGTGATCAGCTGTTTTGTGCAGGTGTTCTCTGTACCCTTTCTTCCGCAGGTGGACCTCAGACTTAAGGTCTTTATAAAAACGAGACTGCAGGGGGTTCATTTTTTTTGGGGGGGTCCAAGGCAGAAATATTTGTTCAGATCAAGCCTTCAGATAAAAGTGCTGCTTCTCCACATTTGGGCAAATGCTGCCTTGTAAAGGTTCAAGCTTATACACGAATGTGGATGAGCGGTTTCACAATCCGATTTGAAACGCCAGAAAAAAATGGATCAGGCCTGATCCTTTCCCGTTAAGCCTGGATTCAGCGTTGGAGGGATTTCTCCCTGTGCCGACCTGGGTTCTTGCTGGCATTCGGAGCGTTTCCGCTGCTCTGTTCCCTGTGCGCTGGACGGACAGGCGCCTGGGGGGAGAGAAGCCTAACTGTGATGTGTTTCCCCGGCAGATCTGTGACTTCGGCCTGGCCCGTGTCGCCGATCCCGATCACGACCACACTGGCTTCCTCACGGAGTATGTGGCCACGCGCTGGTACAGGGCACCAGAAATCATGCTCAATTCCAAGGTGGGCTCCTCGCCTGTTTTTTTTTTTTGCTGTGAAGGGCTCCATGTCGTAGTGGGGAATTGCCACTCCCTCCACTGCCATCGCGACTGGTTCCAGTGTTGTCAGCTGCTTAGAGTTCGGCAACCCCAGCATCATCCACGTCCAGGAACATTAGTTTCAAATGAGAGGAGCATCTGGTCCGTTTGGAATTCGGTAGTTAATTGATCTAAGGGATCTCATGCACCTGTATCTTAGAAAGTAGCCGAAGTTTCAATAACATGGCTTGTTCTGGATTCCCACAACTCTTTGTGCATAGAAGTGCCTCCTAATATCAGTTTTACATTCACTTCCTCATCATCCCCACTTGTTTGTTACATTGCGTTTCGCTGTCGAGCAGTTAAAAACTGTGGGGCTGATTTTTGCCCACGGAAAGTTGACTTGCCCTTATAGCTGCTATTTTTCGTCTTTCAGTCTTTGATGATAATGCTATTTTGTAGGCTTAAGCTGTGATATCGCTCGTGTTGGACGTCACTGGGTCTCCAAACTCTGTCCCCGTTAAGCAGATGTTTGTTTGGGTGGTAACTGGCATTTCCCATCATACACCGAGCGCGAGAGAAAATGTGCAGTTTGTTGTCCACAGGGTTACAAGTTTATTTCCTCCCGACCGTAAAATTGTTTTAAGGTAGCTGCTCCGGTCCTGTGGATCTTAGTGTCGAGACGCCTGAACCTGTAAAATGGTTTTTGCGCTTCAAAGTTCGAGGAATTCTGCAGATATTGGTGAAAGTTGCTATTCAGCAGCATCTCTGACTACAGAGTGGTAGTGATGTTATCAAGGGAAGAGTTCCTGTTGCAGCAGGTTTTTTTGGATCAGCAGTACTATGCCCAGTATCTTGGTCTGCATCAGTCCAGAATGCATTCGGCTGTATTTAACAACTGGGAGGTAGTAATGAGCCCATTACCTGCCTATTCGCTAATATAGCCATCATGAATGATGGTTGCAAGTATTTTTATTTTCGATTTGTTTGTTTTTTTTCAGTAAGGTTCTGTGGATGCACAGTCACATTGCAGTAGCGGTCTGGCGATTTTGTTACGAGAGAGCACTGGGGAAAGTGGCGCAGTGTCTCGGTTTGCATCGCCCGCTTGTTGGCTTGGCTGTAACAGCTGCGTTTGTGCCTGCAGGGTTACACCAAATCCATCGATATCTGGTCCGTGGGATGTATCCTAGCTGAAATGCTGTCCAACAGGCCCATCTTCCCTGGAAAACACTATCTGGATCAGCTCAACCACATTCTCGGTAAACGGCTTGTTGTCATCTTTTCTTTCCCCTTCGCATGCAGGATGATGAACAAAAAAATCCCCTGTTGCATAGCAGGAATACCGCTGATGAAGCGAGACGCGCATTATGTTTCATGTTTTGACTGCGTCCCTTCGTTCCTGTGCAAAGGCGAGTTGATTTTGAACTAACCAGCATCGGGTTGCTAGACTGGATGATAGTCTGCAGCTTTTAAAACCCGAAATGGATCAATCTGCACTGGATTTGGAGTGCAGCCCATTCTGCTGTCGCCTTCGTCAAGCAGGGGACCCCACGGCCCACACTCTGGGGTCCCTGGCTTGCTGGGTGCCGTTTGGCTGCATACCGTGCTGCGTGTTCTCATCTCCCTCGGTCTGTTAGTGGTATCAGGTTTCCTGTGGGTAGACTGTGAGCAAAAACATTTCTTTCCAGGTTGAAATACTTGTTGATATATTGCCTGTGTGCCGGAAATATAGTATCAGTCTATATATTTTGTTTTACGTTGTAAAAACCTTTAGTGTTTTGTGCGAATTGTTAGCAGCTACGGAGAATGTTTTTCGTGGCATCGGGGTTTGATCCTGAACTGCAGTCTCGATAACGAGCGCACAGGGTGCTTTTCTGTCTGTGAACCCGATGCTGCTAAGTAGACATTCTCGTAATTGATGGCTTATATCCGGCTGTATTTTAATTAAGTCGTGTTTTAAGCGCTACAGAACTGGCCATCTGGGGAGCCAGAACTGTATCGAAGATGCCACAAGCTCTGCGCGCAACATGCTTGGAAGTTCTTGGTTTTTGTAGTCGAGAAACGTTTCCTTTATTTCCTCCTCGCCAGCAAACAACAACAAAAAAAAAAACTGTTGCACTGTGTTTTGCTAAAGAGTATATGATGGAAAAAAATGTCTGTGGGCTTCCTGAGCAAACCAGGCTTGTTCAGAGCCAAGGCTGATGATCCACTCCTCCGTCTGCTGCCTTTTCCATTTCATGAGTGGAAATGGCAGTGAAAGGAGGAGTCGCCCTTTGATGTTCTGAGGTTTGACCGTGAGCTCCCGTCTCTTCTCATCCGCTGCTCCTACAGGAATTCTGGGCTCTCCTTCTCAGGAGGACCTCAACTGCATCATCAACATTAAGGCCAGAAATTACTTGCTGTCCCTGCCGCTCAGGAACAAGGTCCCCTGGAACCGACTGTTCCCCAACGCGGATCCCAAAGGTCAGCGTCTTGACGTTCCGTCGAGCCGCGGCGCGGCGTAGGAAACGGTCTTGTTGAGCTTCCCCGTCGTGAGGCCGAGGCGTTTGTGTTTCCTTCTGATAGGGTCACAGACGTCCAGATAAGACGCGTACTGCGTGACCAACTTCCTTGTACAATAAAAAAAACGACATGGAAGAGCTGTAACACTTGTGGCCACTGCCTAGCACATAAGAGCATAAGAAAAATTGCAAAACGAGGAGGGTAAATGAATGATATAAAGGCCCAGTGGTCAGTTTAATCTGATCTAGATGCATCCATCAGCAAGTGTAAGGCAGGACACACCCTGGACAGGATACCAGTTTGTCGCAGGGCTGACACAGGAAGAATAACACAGACACTCAGACCAGGGCTGATTTTCCCGGAAGCAACTTAACCTACCAGCACTGTGGGAGGAAACCAGAGCACCTGGAGGAAATCCACATGAACATGAGGAGAACATGAACTCCACACAGACAGCACCCCAGGTCCGGATTCGAACCCAGGGCTGTGAGCCAGCAAAACTAAACACTGCGTCACCCCTCTATGCATACACCCATGAGTAAAATGGAGGAACACCATTTAAAAGGGATGTTAAATATTCTGTTGACAGCAAGACTCTTCAATCTTTTCAGTAGTATTTGGAGTCATGGGACTCATCCTTAAAAGTGTGAGCTCCCTGCCTCATTTAGTAGTTGGAAACTAGTTGATCCCCTAGAGAGGAAGAGGAGTTTATCTGCCGCATGCACATGTACAGGAAGATTATTATTCTCTCTGGACGTGCACAGTACAATAGACACACAATAGATCTCTGAACTGGCTCCATCACTCTGCTCTCCTCCCCACTGAGAGCTGGTGTGTGGGGAGGGGATCCCCATTACCTGGAAAGCACTTTGAGTGGAGTGTCCAGAAAAGCACTATATAAGTGTAAGCAATTAATAATAATAATATAATTGCTCTCGGTTTGAAATGCACTGCTGAGTTTCAGAAACAAGCCCCCGTTTCGTTTTTGAATCAATGACTTTTCCGCACGACTCGGGTTGCGGCGTTTCCTGGGATGGTGTGACGAGGGGTTGTGAGAGCAGGTCTCAGCAAGTCGCTTCCCGCGCCCGTGACGAGCGCTGTGGCGTTTGTACGGTACTTGCCGTGCGTCGAGTCTGCTCGGTGGGCTGGGTTTGTTTTGGCAAGTTTCAAGTTGCAGATTCTTCCCTTTCCCTCCGTCCTAGCTTTGGATCTGCTGGATAAGATGTTGACCTTCAACCCCCACAAGAGGATTGAGGTGGAGGAAGCTTTGGCCCACCCCTATCTGGAGCAGTATTATGACCCAACAGACGAGGTAGGGTGGATTTCTGTGGCTTCATGCTTAATTTGCGGGTGTGAGGTTCTGGAAATGCGATACAGGTATGCAAGATGGAGCACGGATTGCCAGATCCTAATCTAAACCGTGCTGGCTTCTGTTAACTACTTGACTGTTGGAGAATCCAGAAAAATAGATTAATAGAAAATCTACTCTTGAACTTGAGCGTCTGGGCAAGACGGGTTTTATTCATGCAGATCTAGCACTTGGAAGATGTAACCCCGGCGTCCTGGCTAAATTACCCCCTGGCCTTTACCAGTCATGGCCTCCTAATAACCCCCATCTCTGAACTGGCTTCATCACTCTGCTCTCCTCCCCACTGAGAGCTGGTGTGTGGGGAGAGGACTGGAGCATCATCCAGGTGGGGCTGCACACTGGTGGTGGTGGAGGGGATCCCCATGACCTGTAAAGAGCTCTGAGTGGAGTGTCCAGAAAAGAGCTATAGAAGTTTAAGGAATGAATTAAGATAAACAGTATCTGCACCCTCTCTCTCTCTCCATGTCATTCCCCTGGCCTGGGAGGCCCTCAGACGGGCCTATTTTTGTCTGTAAGAACACGTGGGGAGGCTCAGGCCCTGTTCCGAGCCATCGCGGATTTTCAGTGCCAAATCTCGGAGACGGGACGCGCTCGGAATCTGAGTCTTTTCTCCTCTCCCTCCTCCAGCCTGTGGCAGAGGCGCCATTCAAGTTTGACATGGAGCTGGACGACCTGCCCAAAGAGACCTTGAAGGAGCTGATCTTTGAAGAAACAGCCAGGTTCCAGCCCGGCTACCGGTCCTAATTCTCAAACAGGTACATTGTGCCACAGTCCGTGTGTGAGTGTTCCAGAAGACTTCCCACTCTATCCGTTTGTAGAGCCATTTTCTCTGTGACACAAGACACTCCTTCCACCCCTGAAGACTGCAGGGTGGAGCAGTGGTCAGGGTTCCAACCCACTACACTAGACCACAGGGCATAAGTACCACAACATGTAGCATCGAACTATCCATCAGCCTCTACTGTTCCCAATCCCTGTGCCCCCCCCTTGTCACCTGGTTACATTGCCTTACACTGAGGTCAGAATTGAAAGTCGGAGGTGCAGTTTCTTTTTCTCTCCACCCCACCACCTGCAGGATCACTCCAGCATCCTGGAAGGGGAGATCCAGTGAAAGAGCATCGTGCTTCTTGACGGACCACGGAATATCTCCAGCCCCGAGTTTCCCCTCCCCGCCTGAATCCCAGGACACTAACAGTGCTCCCGTCTCTCTCTCCTCTCTCTCTCTCTCTCCCCTGCAGCCTTTCCCGGAGTGCTCTTGTCACAAAGCTGTTGTTCCTCCTTCCAGCTTCTCCTCAACGATGTGCTGTGGCTTCGTCTTGGCTTGCCCATCCAGCCTCCCCCCCCAACCCCCCCTCCCCCGAAAGAGCGCCGGCGTCTGTCCAGCAGAGTGGGGCCCTGCCCTACGGCCCTTCCCTTCTTCTCACTTCCCTCCACTGTGTGTGGACTTCAGACTGCCGCCGCCGCCCCTGCTGCTGCTGGTGTCCCCTTGCATGGCCACGGTTTTGTTACAGAAGCGCGTTTCGCCGAAAGCCTGTGTCGAGCGTCGCCGGGTTCTCTCCCCGCCGGTTTCCGGACGCGGCGGGCGCCCG